TATCATTCTGTCCAGTGTTCGTTAGGGCACTGTAGTGAATGTGAATTATACATATGTCGATTCGTAGTGTTGGCTTCATCACCCTAGTGAATACATATTATATTCCTACTATCAAGTTTTAAATGTGGAAGTTGTTTTCCATTCATAGCTTTGAATATGATCTGATTATCACATTCATTGTGAAGATATGTCTTTATATTCGAGTAATCGTAGATTGATATGAATCAATTATAGACTGACTAGGAAATGCCTGTTATATCCTTTTATGTTTGTAATTCTAAATGAAATAAAACGATGTTATTTTTAAAAAACCGGCGTTTCGATCGGAATCACCTTGTGTCTAGCCAATGTCTTTCTTACACTAGTGTATTTATATCATTAACCAATAATACGAATATATACAGAATATCATTAAGAATATAGATCTCAGTCAAAGAACTTGTTTATATGTATACTCCTATTACTCCTTTCGTTGCAGGCAATTACAATATACCGTCTCCATCAGTAGGGAAAACTTATTATCGAGCCTATTATTATAAATATAGAAGGATCTGAATGTAAAAATGGTAGGGTTACGGTTTGAGTCTACGGCACAGGTACAGAACCAATCTAGATTAGTTTCTTGGGAAACGAACAACATCCGAAGTGCAAGAATGATGAATAAGCAGAGAATTTCATATTCTTTTGATGATTCTTTATAGGCTGACTAAGTCTGCTGAGTAATATACAAAATCCCCAGGTAAAAAGTCGTTAAGTCATCTTGTTATGAAAATTCCAGGTAGATACGAGGTTATATCTTCGTTCAGGAGATTATCTTACAACAAATTTCCCATTTGACTATGGGAATTCTAAGAATTCGAGAAGATAATCATCTACCTACTCTTTTGTGAAGCGAGAAAGCTTTCAGGAGAGCTCTCAATCATCAAGTTGTGAAATTTGAGAAATATAAAATAGATTCATGTAAAATGTCTTCTGAATAAGGGATTTGATACTTTTTCTAACAGCTTAGTTTTATTTGAAAATTACAATAGCATAGATACTGATGTCCATTTTGAAAACTCGCATAATTTGTGATCAGATACTGAACGCATCACGTTTCTATTTTTACACTGGTAGGAAACTACAACTTCAATATGACATATTATACAGGGTGAGACAGTTTTTTGTGGCAGGACTTCAATAGCTTGAAGAACACATATTTTCAAGATTAATTCTTCATGTGAACATAATATGAGTGGGAACGTTGTTTCCAATATACCAAGTTTGAGATTGTTCAAATGTTTTTAAGTTTTCTCTTACAGTTTTCAAGATGATGATTTGAATTTGGGTACACCTATATTACTTGTAGAACTTAATATTTAGGGCTCCTACAGGGTGATACAATTTCGGGCGTTGTACCCAATTTAAACCTCTAGAACTTTTTGCATGCTGCCTTTGCCCTCGATGATGCATTAATTTAGGTTCTCTCTTTTATTTGGAGACTATTTGCTTTCCTACATCCTCAATTGGATATTTCTTAATAATTGCCTAGATGACCTGGAATGGTGTATTTCATGAGATGAGTTGATGAAACTCAGTGGTAAAACTTGAAAAACACGAAAAGATATGAAAATATCACAGCGCCTGGATATCGATAAACGCATATTTCTTACATGAGATTATCATCTCGAAATTGTATCTTCTATGAGCTATTGAAGTCCTGCTACAAGAAACTGACTCACCCTGTATAATAATCGAAAATTCGCCGTAGGTGAAATTTTTGCTCGTTCAAAGTCAAATACATAACTTTGAAATTAAATTTATGGATTCTTAAAAAAAGTTTCAAAAATTGGATGGCATTTTGTCACAACTTGAAATCAACTTACTTCTTGGCAATCAAACATATACCCAAATGATGGCCTTCTAATGACATACTTTCAAGAAATATGCAGTGATACCTACGTCGTTTGTTACGGACTCAGTGGACTTCAGAGACACAATGTTTATCTTTGCTTATATCAATCGAATTTCTAATAAATTGACAAGTATACTAATCCTGATTGAAATAGGTAGAATATGCTCACTGTCATTTCATCTGTTTACTTGACATGTAATTAATCATGCCAGTACGCGGGTGCCAGAATTCCTCATTTTCTTCAATATGAGTACTTTATGCAGTTGTCCCATATACAGATACATCATACAAAACGAATTCTCAGTAAGAATCTCTGAAAACATTCCTGTTTCGATCTTCATGAGATACCTAACAAGAAGGATGGAAAAATCGCTAAAATAATAAAGGTCTTAGACACTGTAGAGCACACTTCAGCAATCAATACTACTATCGTCTGAAAAATAATGCTGATGACGACGTTTCGAATTATACCTCTCGAGTTACTGCAGCACACGATAATGAAAACGATATAATATCCTCTTTATATCGCACTTCATTAAAATTCATTACTCTGCAGATTTAGGAGCCGCTATCATTTTCATTCACCTGAGCAGAAGTAGGACATTGTCGCCTGAGATAAGAGTATACTCATGAAATTGAATATACCGTGTCTTACAATTTAGTCCACGCCACCCCTGTACTTTCGTATTCCTAAAACGATTTAGGAATTTTTTTGTCATAATAATGTGATTTTCATCGTATAGTATAGTAGTCATATTTTGATCAATGAATTACTTGGTCGAGGAGGAATTGTATACTGCTCAAAATTATATCCTTTGTCTAACAAAATAAAATTATCAATCACTTTTAGCGTACTGCGATCACAGAAACGGAAAAGGTTTTTCTATATCTCAACGTAACAATTTTTGAATAATTGCATTCTTCAAGTCACCGTGTATAATAATTCTAATCAGAATTTGAATGATACCAGGCATGATGGTGGTCAGGATTTCATCATCTGGCTTCAGACAGAGTGATAAATTCAGGCCAATCAAGAATACGATTGTTCAAAAATTCTAACACATATAGTAACATTGACGAAAAACCCCTCTCATGAGATATTGTTTTGAAAATCAATATAGAAGTATTTGTGACATGTCCGAGTCGATTGCCAATGTTAAAATTGTTGATAAAAAAATGCCTAATCCGTTTATTTCATTTATGCTGGAATATTTGTGATCGCAGTAGGCTAAGAAATTGTGATTGATAATTTTTTGCTCGACAAAGTAGATAATTTTGAGACAGTGAATGAAGTGGTATTTTGAATCCCTATAGACAAAAAGTTTATACCCCGACCAACGGGAGGGCTATAATTTGTCGAGGGATTCAAAAACACTTTAGTCCCGAGGTGTATAATATATTAGTATATTATGTAACAAGTGTTATAAACGTACTTTTAGTAACGAGTATTTTGAGCACGAGCGGAGCAGAGCGGAGCGAGTGTTTAATAAACGAGTGCCTAGAAGAGTTTATAAACGCGTTACATACTATGATTTTTCTACGAACTCCGAAAATTACATTAACATACCTGCAATTCCAGCTAACCTACAAAATAATTCGAAAGGAATGGGAATTGAGCGAGACACGTATAAGTGATATTGGTTAGATGTGTCCAGTCCATTGCTTACTAACCTTTGTTTCACGTTTATTGTCATGCTTAGTGCAGAATAAATAAGTTGTTCTCAAAGATGGATGCTTCATTTTTACACTTCTTGGAGATATGCAAGTACCAGAACATTCTCTTCGATTTCACTTTCGTCTACTTTTCGCATATATTTTCAATGAAGAATTACGATACAAACGAATATTGTTTGAATAATTCTGATACAAAATTCGAAAATAAGAGTTGACAGATAATACAATTGACAGGCCAGACATGTCTCAAATTACTGAAGCTGTGAACTGCGTTGCCATGGTAATGTGTTTAAGAAATCGTGTTTCCATGGTAACGTGTTTAATATTTTGAATAAATCACAGATCGACAATCCGTGATTAATCGATCATTTAGCGTGGTACATATCCGTACGCTAAATGCCATTTTAGTTATGTGAGTTGAAAAATGAATAAATATTAGTCAAACACGCCACACCGATTGAAAGACGTTGATCGCGATCGAACAAATCGAAAAGGAAGCTCAAGAAGCTGAAGGCCAATTATTACCAAGAAAATCGGGAGAATAATATAAAAAACAGTTATCTGAGTTTATCAAAGGGTGCAAAGAACGGAACGTGAAACAATGTACAGAAGAGAAGGTACTGATAGCATAATTATGTCTTGTCAAAAAAGCTTGAAGCATCGTCATTGTGGAGCGTATATATTCTATGATAAAACACACAATTGCAACAGACATTTTGAAAATATATTTTCAAATTCAGCTTCTATTGCAAAGAAATTTACTTTGAATCTATAGGGATTTGAGGTTCCACTTTTTCCCCCAAAATAGGGAATAAAGGTTCCCTTAGCCCTATATATAAGATTTCCATGGATTTCCCTGGATTTTTGTGCGCTTCTAAATGAAGTTATATTTATTCCATAGATTTAAATATTTGAATGGATGTCTATGGGCTATGTGTTACAGCTGTGGATTCATGGCTCGGTTCATTTTGTTTTCATTTCTTGGAGCGCACAAAAGGAAATTCCTATAATGTCCGTGGAACATCGTACGTACAGGGTGATTCATGCCGCCCCCTTTAGCTCACTTATTTTTGAACCAATTTGAAGATTCGGAAAATCATCTGAAATTATTTTTCAGATATTTCTTTCCGCTACATCATAAAATACAGGGTGCTCGAAATAAACTATCTACAGCGTACTAATTGATTTATGCAATTGGGACACCTTGTAATTCATAGCATTTTTGATAATGGGTAACAAATAAGCCTTAAATTATGACTGAAAAGGAATCTGAAGTGGTTCTGCCGAGGGTTCTGCTAGCTTAATATGGGTTGGTAGAGTCTCCAGTGAGAGATTGAAATACCAAAATGGCGCTCCCGAAATGGCAGGCGATTTCATCATGCGGATATGGAATTTTTTCTCGAATAAATGAAATGAGAGAAAATATATTTACCAGTTTGGCTCTCCACACGAAAAATTAATCTTCACCAGAACTTGGACCACCTAGAAATAAAACAAAAATTAATTATATTATATTGAAACAAACATTTGCTCGGCGAATATTTTGGATGAATATGTTTAAGGAATATAAACCTTTGTATATCATCATACAAATATTTTCTAATTTGAGTGGAAACTGATATGAAGTAGAAGTATCCTCGCCGGTTCGCCTACTATCAAGAAATGCTTTACTTGTGTGTCATTTTGTAATGAATGTCACAAATAATGTGCCAAGAAATGTGGCTTACTGCTAACACCGAGGCTATAACGCAACCCGTATTTTTGTTTGATAAATTTATCCACGGTTTTATTTACTATGATAAAATGATAAAATACAACAGCTACCTCCCTATATGGCCTTATCAACAGTGTTCCGTATCTAGTATGCATGTATGCATGGGGAAACAATACAAACAGCTGAAGAATTACTCAATTACGAAAGAAACTTCCTCATACAGGGTGTCCCAGCACAACGTACCATTAATTTCACAGGGTGAACTAGAGAACAGAATAGGCCGATTGAAGTCAACTTATTTTTATTTCCAGATTGTCTTGAATATTTCCAAATCCTTCAAAGGTACTTATCTAAACTTCTTAGAACAATTTACTATCGTGAATGTGCATGAAAAACATATCATATTGATTTAATCAATATACAGGCAGACAGGTATTTCGCATTTTCTTTGATGAACATTCATATTACTTTTTTTGGAGACGACCACTGACCACCTTTTGATATATCACTCTTTTTATAATGCAGTTGTTTTCTTGCTTCTCGATAATATCTTACATAACTAATTGTGGTGCTTCTCCATACTTGATGTTTGTGATGTGTCAGGATTATCATGTTTTGCAAGTATCTACCTCATTTGTGTTTAGTTATTTACGACAATGATCTTGTTTATGAACTACTTCCGAATATGATGTTGTTCATCTTCAAATTACATTTTTTTTTCTCGAATGAAATTTGGAAACGACCAGCTCCCAGAGATCATATGATGATGAGCTTGAGAAATGATGAACATGGATAGTGTATTCAATAACTCAACACAAATGGAGTAGAAATTTGCAAAATATGATATAGGTAATCCTGACATTATATAGGTAAATAAGATGGAGAAGCACAAAAATGAATTTTGTTAGATATCTCGAAAACTAAGAAGAATTATAAAAAAACTGCATTCAGTAAAAAGTTAGGAAATCGATTTTGTCGTTCATTGCAATATCGAAATATGGCTCGAAATATGGTCAGTGGCGAACTCTGAAATATCTATCTCCATGTATATTGATTGAATTGGTATGACATGGTTTTTATATGCATATTCATGAGAGTAAATTGCCCGAATTTCAGATCTGTAGGTAATTTCAAGGATTTTGAAATATTCAAAATTATATTCTTCATCGGCCACTCCCGGCTAAACAGAGCATTTGCGTATATAGGTGAATTGATTTCATCAGTGTATGTATTTTGGTATCAATTTCACCTCGAATTTCACCCTGTTTATAGAATTGATAGTATACGTTGTTCTGAGACACCTTGTCTAGCAGAGGAGTTGCAATATAACTGTTATTATCGGAAGGCTTTGAATACTTAAAAGACAAATTGAGAATAATGTCGACATTTTCCATTGCCATATGCAATATGCAATTATAGGATAGCGAAAAGATAAATTATTCATTATACTCAAATAGCAACATTAGCAAATACTGTATGTATAGACGAACAGTATATTATATAAGAGATCTATTACATCCACGAGATATTTTGTTGTTTTGTTATCATATTATTTCTCATCATGTACATGTTCATTAAGGATGAATAAAATTCTCAATAACTCAATTCACAATGATTTTTTTTATCTCTTGGGGCGCACGAAAGAGAATCCCTATAGGTCGCGTGCACGATAACCTACCCTGGAGGTAAAACAATGAAACACAACCTCACTTTTCTGTAAAACATTGAAACACAACCGCACTTCTCTCATTTCTTTACAAATGAATCAAGGGATCGAAATAGTTTTTCACAATATTTTGGCATACGAATTCTTTTGATATATTCATCAATTCAAGCATTGTGCTGTTGTACAATGCACAAAAAATGCAGCGAGAGACGAAGGAATATCATTTTCTCAGGTAAATAGTGATCTCGCATAGTTCTTAAAATAAAATTTTATCATTTATCATTAGAATTTCTTCTGCCACCTTCTATATGCTGCTAATACTGCTGATTCAGTGAAAAAGTCTACAACACACACGATCATAATTATTTCGTCAGCATGTCAGACCAGTCCTACCGTCTAATTGCATGAATCCAATCTTCTTGCCTTTTCTTCAGTAGCTCCTATTGTAGAAGGAGTTCCAATGGAAAATGACAAAATTTCAAAATGAAAATTGTATGTGAGTGAGACTATAGTACTATTAAATCACAATGTACACTCGTCTTCAGATAAAATGTCGCGGTTGGACGGTATGAGCGCTCTTATTGCAGTACGACATGTTTTCTGAAGACGACTGTACCTACCTGAAAATAGGATTCCTTCGTCTCTCGCGGTTTTTTTGTGCATTGTACAACAGCACAATGCGATGCCATGCTTGAATTAATGAATAGCCGAAAAATACGGTTTGTGTGTCAAAATAAATGTGAAAAACTATTTCAATCCTTAGTAAACAAATAAGAAAAGTAAGGTTGTGTTTCAATGTTTTATCTCCAGGGTCGGACAATACGAACGATCCTGCAAAATGCTTATGGGTGCGTCGTATTCTTTCTAAATTTTGGTAAGATCTTCTTCAAGTGCCAATAATGATTGAATCGAATATTAGAATTGCTCCAACTTCCAAAAATCAACATTTTTTTATTTCGGGCAGTTAAATTTTGATCATGCAATGGACTTTCTATCTTCTGATGAAGACGAATATCTTCAATGTGTTATTATTTTTTATGTATCATTAAAAAAAATCCATTGAGACCCAAGAATTTTGCAGGAGGGATCCTTTGTCAAGGCTACAATGTCGGCTTCCATATACATATACCTATCTTCGCATCTTGGTCTCGTTACTACGTTAGTCTTGTTCTTGTACTCAACAATTTTTAGTACGAAGCCAAAACGATTATACTTGATCGACCTACCTATCAGTTGATACTAGGGCTGTGCAAAAATATCGATACACCGATATACAGGGTGTATCTAAATAACACCGAAAAAATGCAAGGGGAAATTCCTTGTAATATTTTAGGAAATAAAGTGCATATAACCATGTATCCAAACTTGCTTCGTTTTCGAGATAATTAATATTTCAATAACAATTTTTTTTCTATTTTTTTCTCAATTGTCTTTTCGTCAATTTCAATAAAACGTTGTGGTTTTGTTGATAGTAATATGGACCTTCTTTTAGTGCAATTAGATTCGAAATAACATTTCCAGTGGCGTCACAGTGGGTAAATTTATCGATATTCATGGTGAATGTCATTGTACACCACCGGTTTTTCCGAGGTTTTTCTGAGTTTCATATTTTCTTTTTAGATTGAACCATTGAAATAACAACTTTTTTATCCTCTGTGTGATCCTTGTTAGTTCATGAGGAAACAATGAAAATTCAATTTGACTCCAAATTTCAATGTATGTACATAAAAAAAAAAGTTTGTTTGAAACCACAACATTTCTGTAAATTCAACAAAATCTGAGTGTCATATATCCACGACAAGATATTTTGTCACTGCAACAAATGTTTTTTGTCAGTCTTCTATTCAAAATTCATTTGATGTAACTCATTAATGATTCAAATTAACAGCAGGAATTGGTTGAATAAACAAATTCTAGGACAGCCTTATATAATTATATAAACGGATGTTTGAAGTAGGTATATGTACACCCCAATCGGAGCGAGCGTAGGAAGGTTGGAAGAAACGCCACCTGGTGGCAAAAATGCGACTAGATGATCAAATCAACAAAATATAATGTTGTCATGATCAATTTAATTTTGTCGAATAGAAAAAAATCTTTGATTGATTGCACAACGAAATGATTGTTGACTCAACAGAATATGATGTTGTATTGTATTTAGTTAAATCTTTGTAAAAATCAATTTAATTTTGTCGAATAGACAAAATGCATATGATTGACTGAACAATGAGATAATAGTTGGATCAACAAAATTTGTTGCATCTCAACTATAAATGTTGCTGAATGAAATGAAACTTTTGTACAAGTGAGCAAATATTTCAATCAAATCATTTTGTCTATTCGAATAGGTTGCTTATTTGGAATAAACATATATTTTGTTGATTTCGCAAAATTGTGTTTAATTTAACAAAAAAAAATCACCAAAATTATTTTGTTGGTGCAAGAAAATTTTTTTTTCCGTGTAGGTGTTTTCAAGACTTCAATTGAGATTACTCAATATCCCCAATTTGAATCATTTTGAGATTTTGGGGATTTCTCAGTCTCCATCCATACTGTATTTTGGAACCATGAAAGCTTATACAGGGGGGTTATGAATAAAAACAATTAATACGTCCAACTTCAACATCCTGTATCTCAAAAACGGAGCAAGTTAGGACACATGTTTTTATGAGCTTTATTTGCAAGAATTTCACAAGGAAACAGCCCTTAAATTTTTTCGGTGTTGATTAGATACACCCTGTATATCGATACAATTATCGTTACCAAAGCATACATCGATATCGATATCGCACAGCCCTAGCTGCTACCGAGGTTGCTACCACACTAGCCGGCAGTATTTGATTCAGATATTGTGATTTTAGTCGATCAACCACTATAAACTTTGTCAATTATGATCCATTTGGCCAATTTACCCGTATCCGGATATGTGTTCAAATCATTATTATAATCAATCAATAGGGAGGGTAAAATGAATAAAAAATATAGATATCTAGCACTGCATGCTACAAGCTTTCAACTTTCTTCAGGTAATTTTTCCATAGATCATCGCCAGCGAACTCATTTTCAATTTCAATAGCCAAGAACAAGTGAATGAAAGTCGAG